AAGCAACTGGGGCTTTGGCCAGCTGGGCACCAGACAGAAGCAGATCAGCTAAGACGTGACCTGGCGAACTAAGAACTGTGCTTGAATCATTCGGTTGTAAGCTTTCTGTAGGCCCTGTGGTCGTCCCTACTGTCATTGAGCCTCTGGAGCACCCCCTACTTGTCATTGAATCTCCTAACTTACAGTCTTCAGGAAAAAGCAAAGAGAAAGCCGAAGCGAGATCGAAATTGCGAGGTCGCACTCTGGAAAACGAGCACTCGACAATTCAGCCGTGACCGCACGGCGTCTGGTCCGCAAGCGAGACCGCTAAGCGGGCCAAAATGACGTCCAAACAAAACCTTAGACGCTTATGACTCCTGACAGATAGTTAACTTCCTTGGAGGAAGGGAGATTGAGTGCATTTTGGTGAGATGGTTAGCCCAGTATGCCTGATAAGCGAAAGGTCGTGGGTTCGACTCCCGGCAGTATTTTTGATCGGTCAACTAGATTGTCATTTAGCAATGTTCCAATTAGATCCAACTAGATTGTCATTTAGCAATTGTCAGGCTCAACTACGGCTGAAATTCAATGCCAAACATTGGACTCTACCAAAGTTTCTGGCAAGAAATTAGATCACAATCAAAATCTTGTTTGTCACCAACCTCCTTTTCCCCAATCCTTTGCCACCCTTGCCCCGTCCGGTCATGTCAATGAATCCTTCCACTGAATAACGAATTGAAAAGCAATCGATATACAGCCTCTTTATATATTGCGGGTCAAATGGGGCTCGCGGAGGGATGCCTGAAATGGAATGAACACTGAGAAGAGACGCAGAGATGACAGAGTGAGAGTCGCGGTGCGATGCCTCGACAAAAGATTTCGAAAGCTTCTGTTTGAGCCAAGTCAGATGCCTGAAATCTTTCGAAACGTCGTTCCGGAGCGCATGTTTTAGTTTGGGCATTAAATTTTGGGGATTTCTCCCCAATCCAGCCAATTTGAATGCAAGGTCGAAAGCCGTCCAATTAAAGAAAATAAGCTGAGTCAAGTGGGGATGCTCTGAGATTTTACCAGGTTTTAATCCTGGAGTGCACACCTGCTGGAAAACTGAATTTCAAAGGTTTGTCGAAATTGTGTTGTTCCGGATTTCGAAAAGCAACCATTTAAAACCACCATCAAGACATTTCAAGGGTTTTGAGAGTCATCGCCTCAATTCAATGTTTTCAATCACGACTGGATCGCATAATATCGATTGAACCAGCAATTTCAGGACTACAGCCACTTGGAAGCAATGGAGTACCAGGTCCCGGCCAGGGATGCCTATTTGCTGGAACGCGAGAGCCGGGTGCACTTTAGCCGTGCCCTTTCCGTCGCATCTCTCCTCCTGGAGGGCACACTGTCGTCTGGTCGAAAACGTACGAACTAGCTCTATTTACAACAGTGCACAGGAGCGAGCTGGTTGAGCTAGGGACCGAGAAAATACGGAAAATATCGTGCTCATGAATTTTGAAATGAAAAACGCGAAGTGTGTGCTCCAAATGCTCATTGTCAAAGCAAAAAGCGCAAAAATGGGGGGTTTTGGGATTAGAGATCAAGCTCGGGTGAGGTAATCTGAGGGAAAATACAAAATTTCAAAACTCCCTGTGTCCTTTCTCTTCTCGCTTCCTCTCTTTCATTCTCTTCTTGCTCTCTCTACATTATGACGTGCCTCTGCATCCATTGCACGGTCCGACGAGGAATTACCAGAGGTGGATTGAATTCTTGAGTACTGACGGAGTGCAGAAAAATGTGGCAATCCATCTGATCTCCAATCGATGTAGATTTGATGAAATGAGTCACAATGAAAGAAAATGACATATAATAAACGCACCACTAATTAACCGTACAAATGGAACAAACACAATAATATAAAAACTGCAAAAACCCAATAAAACCTTCAAAACTCCATCATTTCCGATTGGGGCTGAACGACGAAGGCGAAAAATTGTGTGATCCATCTGTTGTAGTGCGATTGAAGCGATGTAGACACAACCCCTGCCTGAGTTAATGTTTCCGTCAAAAAATAGACCGTCCAGAAATCAACATGCTCCGGACAAGTCTCCGTCATGGATTTTCAAGAGTTCGTCGCGATTTCGATGAACCTTTGTTGATACCCTCTCCGTCGAATCGCTTTATTCCAGGGAATTCGCGAAAGGAAATCGACGGATCTGGGCTCCTGAGAATAGCTGGTATACACGTAAAAGCCGCTTTCGAATTCCTAGGCTTAGGATCCGCCTTTTAACGATTCATTGCACGATCTCTTCAAAGTTGCTCTTCGAGAGGACGCAAGAGGAACCACGAGAGACATTTTCAAGAATTTATCGAAGTTACATCGAGAGCTACCGGGTGAAAAGTGAAAAGCAGCTTCGAAAACGACAAAGAAACTCGACTTTTTGGTAGTCATTCATCTGATTTGCCGATGAAATTCTAAAAAAGCTCGCTGATCACTCTGATTTTCTTCTCAACAAATCAATGTTCACGCTCAATCCGCCCGGATTTTCCTTAACACCGTCCAGCGGAAATTCTCAAGAACTTTCCGCAAACACTCGTTGCTGTTCACATAGAGCCACAAACGCTCGACAGAGGCCAATTGATTCCAGAATCGTTGCGTCCCCGAAGCTGAATTGTTCGCAGCGGAGGGCTATCACTAACAATTTGTCACATGAGCGGATTCGTTTGAATCAATGGATGGTGGAGATCGACATCAAGTTCGACGGGTAGAGCTGGAGAGAATTTCCCGATTCGAATCCCTCCATGAGAATAGTTGATCACTTGCACGTGATGCCCAAAAAACTATCCAGGTAGGTGTCCGTAGCAGGCATCCGATCGGAATCCCGCATCTCACCTTTGACCAATTCAATCCCATCATTCCGGGCTTCGTCTTGCTCGAGACTCCAGCTTTAGGTCGTAGCATAAGCTTCTCCACTTGGGAATGACGTCAGCTGGCATTTCAAACGGCATTTTGCTTGGCGTCGTTCTACCTGTAAATAAACAATTAAATAAACAAAACAATTAAATTTCTTTGTAAAAAAAAGGGCAATTAAAAATTAAAAGCTTCTAGAGAAACAACAACAACAACAACAACCCCTAGACAACTGGGACAGCTTCTAATAATCCCTAGGTAACTCAGCTTCTCCTCAACCAGTGATAAGAACGAGCTTGAAAAATATTAACTTCAAACTACCGAAACCCGTAAAAAAACATTGGAGTTTCCCCTAGGAAGTATAGAAAAGAAAATGCAAAAATCACGGTTCGGTTTTTACCCATTGGCAAACCTATTCTTTCTTTTGAGGCCTATTGGCAAATCTTCAGGCAAATCAAAAAGATATCAGCTAAGCAATTTGTATTTACGGGAAAACTCATGAAGTTTTTAGGACAAAGCTCATTGGGGTGGACAAATCGTGACCTTTTTTTTGCTGGAAAAGGCCTTAGGAAAGGTCGTAGAGCTTCAAAAATGTATTTATAGGAAGGGTATCGTAGTGTAGTATCAGAATTCTAAAAGTCAGACCAGATCGCTGACACGTCAGGCCCTGGGCTAAAAGGCAAAACTACGGAAAGCGTTAAGTTGCGTAGTTTTTAGCTCTTAGCTCAAATTTAACGTGTCGCGAGGTCTGATTTGGTTTTGGGATTTGGCGAAGGGCCTTGGAATCTTACGCATACGATTCCCCCTAATATGGAAATATTCTCGAGCTCTACGACCTTCCTAAGGCCTTCTTCCCTTCAGCGAAAAAGGTGCGACAAAAGTTACAGGAAGTGCAAAAAAAGGTCGCATTTGTCCCACCCCCTTCTTTTGAGACCCATTGGCAAATCCTCAGCAAAAAAGATATTGAGCTAAGTAATTTTGTAGGTAAGGGGAAACTGGCTTGAAATGTTGAGGACAGTCATTCATTTTTAAATGTTTCCATTTTATTTGACGCTTTCAAAGCTATTTAAAACGAAGATCACTTATCAACCTGTATATATGCTTTTTTTCCAGGAGCTGGTGCTACCGACACGCCGATCCGGGTACAACGCGAGCGCAGCCACGACACGCGCCGGCCACTCAACTCTGATTGGAGCCGATTTCCCGATTGTGCAATTTCGGAGAACTTTTCCCCGATTCTGACTTTCTCATTCTTCAAACCTGGAAATCACCAAGAGGACATGTGTGACAAAGTTTGGGCAAAAGTGATTTTAGAGTAGCATCGTGTTCGTCAAATCGGTTTGCGGGCTTAAATTTACGAAATCGGTCGAATTTTTGTGAATTTGGAACTTTTCTTATCGCTCAATTTGGGAGAGCATTTGGGTGTTTGAAATGGAAATTTTCGAAATTTACATATAAATATCAAAAATTTATTTTAAAATGATCACATCTGAATTTTTACAGAAAATAAAAACGAAAATTTGTTATAAAAAATAAAAAAATCGCCTAAACTGAAATTTTGGCAAGATAACGTGTAAATTATTGAAATTTTAAGGAAAAATGAAAATCGTAAATTCACCGGGAGGAAAATCGAGGGGAAGCTGGCGATTTTTGGCGGAAGAGGTACTGTAAAGCGGCGACTTTCCAAAAAATAGGCTAATCATAACGATTTTGCGGCTTTTCTAAGTGTTGCCGTGGCTGGAGTGGCCCCAAATTGGATTAGTCACCGTTCTGGAGAGCACACTACGGTCTCCCGGAAATCGCTGAGCGCTCTAACTTTAATGAAAAAGTTGACCTAAAAATCGTAAACGATTTTGAGGCCTTTCCGGCGTTGCGCTGGGCCAGATTGCTCCAAATTGGAATAGTCACTGTTCTGAGAGCACACTACCGTCTCTCGAAATCGCCGGGCGCTCTAACTTTAATGAAAAGTTGACCTAAAAATCGTAACGATTTTGAGGCTTTTCTAAGTGCTTGCGCTAGGCTAGATTGCTCCAAATTGGATTAGTCACCGTTCTGGAGAGCACACTACCAGTCTCTCGAAATCGCCGAGCGCTATAGCTTTTTAAAAGTTGACCTAACTTTACAAGTACTCCTCAAAAACGACGCCTTCACCCAAATATGAGAATTTGACTAAATTTTCGCAGAAATTACACAAAAGTTACACAAAAAATTAAACAAAAAAGCGAAAAACACCCGAAAGCGGGGATATCGAAACGAAATTTTTCAAAAAATGTAGAATTCCTTTAAATTTTACGGAAACACAAGCGACCTGGTGCACTTTTTTTTTATTAAAAGTGGCTAAGACTTGAAATTTTTGGCTGCAACCGGCTCTGTGAGCTTCCAGGATTAGACCTGAAATCTCTAAAAATACAAATTTCATGCAAATTTCTTAGGCAAAACGGCGAGATCTCAAATCACTCGTCAAAGCCTCGAAATTTTTCCTCTAATCGCTAGAAATTTCAGTGCAACAGCTGCTGTGCGTTCCAGGATCAGGGGCATTGAACCCAATAAAAACATTAGGTTAATTAGAGAAAATAGAAATTCTTCCATCGGCGAACCAACTACAAAGTGAAGCCATGGGAAGTGACAGGAAAGCACACAACGAACGAACGGGAAACTGATAGAAAATCATTGTAAAAGATTGAAATTGCAAAAATTCCCGAAAAATTCTGTACAAGTTGAGGTTTTTCCCTTGAATAAGAGGGCGAAAAAAGAAAAACAAAAGTTCTAGGGCCAAAAATTTTCACATCGAAATTTTTCTCAAAATGGCAACATGAAAGCCTGAGTTTTTTCGGGAATTTTGAAGCGCTGGAATGCACGAGGAAGATTGGTTGAAAAGAAAATCTGAAAATCTGACACTCTCACAAGTTGAGCCATACGGTGCGACGAGGACGAGCAACCGACCAAGTGTGTGGAGGCCGAACCGGGCGAGGCTGGAAAGTGGATTTGTGATTTTGTCAGTTCTGGATGTCACAGCAGGGTTTACCGTAGTTTTTAAATGTCGATTACCTCGTTTTCTAAAAGTTGGTAGTTCACAAACGGCTCACGGTAGGATATCCAGGCTTTAGGGATTACTGTAGCTATTGAGAATGGAAATGCTGCTGTTACGGATATATCACAGCAAGGTTTACAGTGGCTTTCACACTTGAAATTCTCACCTTCACTCACTCCGGGCACATCAACGGTGACGAACTTCCGCGCCAACGAGCCCCAACCCTCCGCATTTCGAGCTTCCAGCTAAAATCGCCATAAATTAGCATCAATTCAATATTTTGCTAGATTTTCGTCTGGTAGATCTTTCCCGGACGCACCTGAACCTCGTAAGTCGTCCCCCTTTGCAGAAACGAGCTAAACAACGAATTCGAGTAGCGATCGGCACCCGTTTGATCTCCTAAAATTCTCCTCATTTATATTTTGATCCAATACGGTTCCAATACGGTTCCTATTTTGATCCAATACGGTTCCTACTTTGATCCAATACGGTTCCAATACGGTTCCTATTTTGATCTAATACGGTTCCAATACGGTCCCAATACGGTTCCAATACGGTTCCAATACGGTTCCAATACGGTTCCAATACGATCCCTTTACGGTTCCTTTTACGGTTCCAATATGGTTCCAATATGGTTCCAATACGGTTCCAATACGGTTCCAATACGTTCCAATACGGTTCCAATACGGTTCCACTGCGGTTCCAATACCGTTCCAATACGGACTATGGAAGGTAGGTACATCTTTAAAATCATCATTAAAATCATCATTAAAATCATCATTAAAATCAAAATTTGTGGTTAAGTTTTATTTGGAAAGCTCGCCTAGGATTGGGTAATTAAACCGGCGGTTTTTTTGGTGCCGTTTTAAGAAGCTAGAGGCTCAATCTGGAACGCACTTTAAAAGAATAAAACAATAAATATGGGAAGAAAGTTGTTGGGTAACTCGATTGACACAAAAACGCACTCAGATCAGCGCTGACACTCTTCTTGCCGGTCCACGTGTCCCGTTTGAGGAAACGGAACAAAACGCGGCACTCGAGAATCGGCGCTTTTGATTGACACTCCATTTGAGGCTCGTTCCATCGACGGAAAGCTCGGGGGGGCCGGGATTGCCTGGAAATTTTGGGATTGCCGGATTGCCTAAATCTAAATCTCGAGTGAACTCTTGTGAAGTAGTCTAAAATGTGCTTCTAGTTGGCTAAATCTAGCCAAGATCTAACTCATGTCTAGCTGGCCAAACCTGTTAAGATCTAGCTCATATCTAGCTCAACCTGACAAGATCTAGCTCATATCTAGCTCTAAACCTAGTCAAGATCTAGTTAAGATCTAGCTCATATCTAGCTTCAACCTGACAAGATCTAGCCCATATCTAGCTCAACCTAGTCAAGATCTAGCTCTAGAATAACATACCAAGTCTGTTTGACTGTTTCTGAGTATAGGAATCGATTTACTCGGGAAAGAACTCATTGTTAGTGTTTCAAAACAAGATCCAGACCATCTTGGAGACTTTATTTTGATGAAATTTACGATAGAAGATTAAAAAGAACAGAATTTAGTGTGGAAATACTTAAATAAACAAAAAGCAAAAGATTTAGCTGAAAAAGGAATCGAACCCGAGCAAAAATGCACCACTAGTGGATACAAGCGCCTTATCCACTAAACCACCAAGCGATCTTCTGCGGACCGTTTGAACGCCTCAAATAGAGATGCCAGAAGCGTTTTTCGCGAATCCGATGCCTCTTAGGGGTTCAAACGGTTGTAGAGATTCAAAAATCACAAATCTGGATAGTTTTTGAACCGAGTTGTTTCAACTAATCAAAAGATGTATCCAGTGGCCGCCAGTGACTCTAGTGTGTTCCAGTTTGCACGAAAAGAGCTTGAAAATCTGCGTATCGATGCCTCTTAGGGGTTTAAACGGTTGTAGAGAGTTTCGGAAGATGGTTTTCTTTTGGGGAAACGCGGGATCTCGCTTTCAAAGATCAATTATCCCTAAAACTCTTGATCCCCAGTGGATTGCGAGAGAAAATGAGCGTCTACGAGTTGTGTGCAAATGGATCTATCTTCAATGAACACGATAAACTATCGTCACTTTCTAGGAGCTGACAATGAGCCCAGGAAGAGCTTGGACTTTTCGATTTTAAAATAGTAAAGGATAACCCCTTAAGGACAAGGACAGCCCTAGTAATCCCTAACTATTTTAGCTCGTTGCGCGAGAAAATCGGGCTTGTCTCAAACGACAATAATAATAATCGAGAGAGACAGAAGAGGGAAACAATCGGACAACGGGAAACAACGCTTTGTGATTGAAAAGATTGAGGGGAAGGGGACAGATGGGAGACACCTGGCAACACATCAAAATAAGAAGAGGAATGCACTACGAGAGAGCACGAGAGACAACACAGCTATCTGTAATCGTGAGGTTTATGTTGAGGAAGACAATGAGGCCAGTTTAGACTTAAGGGAAAGCCTTTAAATGCAAATTTGGAAGATCTGGAAGTCACTAGGCCGATTGCAGTCATTTTTTTGATAGTCTTGACAGGAATCGAATAGGGTGAGGAAAGCTATTGGAGTCAAGGTCGCCAGTTTAGACCATTAGAAGCCTTAAATGCAAATTTTAGCAACTTTTTGTCTGATCTGGAAATCACTAGGCTTATTGCAGTCATTTCTTTTACAAAATTATTAAACAGGAGATTTCAAGTTAGCTACTGTAGACAATGGTGCCACTTAGACCATTAGAAGCTAATAAATGCAAATTTTAGCAACTTTTTGTCTAATCTGGAAGTCACTAGGGCTTATTGCAGTCATTTTTATGATAGCTTGACATGAATCGAATAGGGCAAGGGAAAGCTGTAGAAGTCAAGGTCGCCAGTTTAGACCATTAGAAGCTCTTAAATGCAAACTTTGGCAACTTTTTGTCTGATTTGGAAGTCACTAGGCCTATTGGAGACCAAAAATATTCAAAAACTCACCGGAAACATGAATCACTTCGATGGCGGAGCCAAAATTGTTCCGACGCTTGACACGAGAAGTCACCGAACATGTCTGGGTCAAGATTATGCACCTAAAACACGGTAATTTGGATCGACTTTCTTTTCAAACCTCCAGCGTCGACAGTGTGTAGTTTTTCTCGCGTTGATCGTAATTTTTAGCATCTTTGAATTTTGCGTCGTTCATCTAGAAATTGGGAAACTTTCGATTGATCGTCAGACTCGCCAACAACGCATTTAGTCTCATTTTTACGTTGGATTTGGTAATCCTGGCTGTCACAGTCTTGTTTTTACCGGTTTTCAAGGGGTATTACTTTGAAAATTCCGCTTCTCAAATACCCATTCTGAATGGTGCCCATTTTCTCGACTACCGTAATAGCATCTCTATTTTGGGAGCTTGATTTGTCGGTTCTGGAAGTCATAGTCTTGTTTTCACCATTTTCAAGGTGTGTTACTCGAAAAGTCCGCTTCTCAAATACCCATTCTAAATGGTGCCCATTTTCTCGACTATCGTAACCTTGTCTCGATTTTCGGGACTCCATTTGTCGGTTCTGGAAGTCACGGTCTTCTTTTTGCTCACTTACAGTATATTAGTTCTATCGGGAAAATTGGGGTCCGGTTCAATTACGCAACTCGCATCAACTTACGGCTAACTGTTTGCCAAATAGAGAAAAATGGCTACAATGGGTCTAGGGTCTTCCAGATCGGTTAGAAAAGGGTTTGAAAAAGATCTCGCATAACCTTGCAATTACCAACCTTTAAGGCAAGCGCTCGAAAGTGATACCCAAAGCGCTAGAAAGATTTTTTCGAAGTCAGGGCTATGCCAGAAGCTCCACCATGTCAGAGTGTCAAGCGTCAAGCTTGTCTAGTTTGGTTCTATCTCCAAAATCCAAGCAGTCCTTGGATCTAGGGCTGTTTCTGGATTCTGGCTTTGCTTTTCCTAAGCTAGAGCTGACTTCAGATCAATTTTCTTCTATTAGAGACTTTAAAACGTAAAATTTCCTCTGGAAAAGCTATCCTGGAGCGCCTTGGGAGTCAATTTTCGATCTTTGGAAATAATTGAGAACTTTAAATAAGAGCTTTTTGGTCCCTCTTCCATCACCCACCTTTACCCTGTACCCATTGAAGTACCAATCGAGATTCGGCGGGGATTTCCGTCAAAACGACACGAGATGTTCACGGAGTTTCCCCGATGTACAGGCAAATATCCGAAATCGGTCCGAATCCACGGTTTCACTGAAAAAAAGATAAAATTAATCAAAAAGGTACTGTTTCGAGTTCCTCGATTTCTTCGGGAATTTTACAAAAATCGTTATTTAAAGCACTGAATCGTCGATCCTGGAAGTCATTCAGTGCTCCAGATCACTTGCGATTGCAAAAATTCGCAAATCTGGGTTCTCGGGTTACGGTACTTTTTCTACCCTTTAGAAAAGCTTGGAAATGAAAATTTTAAAGCAAAGTCGAGTGCTGTGGCTTTCTAAATAGAAAGCTGTGAGTTGTGGAGTTGAAAAATGGACAAAATAGACGATGACAACGAGGGATTTACTATGGACAATTGAACTCACCTCCTTCCCCTTGCAACTGATTGCCGTTTGCTGAAAAAAATGAGTTAGCTATGAAAACGTTAATGATTTTTGTTGGATGCATTCCAGATAAGGGAAATATTTGATTAGACTTGTTAAGAGGAAAGTTTTTCACTGAGATTTGACTTGGACAAGTTTTGACCAAATATCCGATTTGTTCGAAAAGGATTTAGGCTAACAAATGTGAATGCTTTTCGAAGAATGCATTCCAGATAAGGGAAACATTTGATTAGATTTGTTATGGGCAAAGTTTTTCACTGAGATTTGGCTTGGACAAGTTTTGACCAAATCTCCGATTTGTTCGAAAAGGATTTAGGCTTATAAAAGTTAATGCTTTTCATGGTGTGCGTTCCAGATCCGAGAAAAATGACATTAGATTTCTTGGGACAAAGTTTTTCACTGTGATTTGACTTGGACAAGTTTTGGTCAGATACCCGATTTGTTCGAAAAGGGTTTAAGTTAACCAAAGTTAATGCTTTTCATAGTGTGCGTTCCAGATCCGAGGAAAATGCCATTAGATTTCTTAGGAGCAAAGTTTTTCGCCGAGATTTGTTTAGGACAAGTTTCGGCTTTGACAGCTTTGACATTTCAGAGTTTAACACCAAGTTTGGTCACTCAAAATCCCACACACCATGCTATTTTCAAAAAAAGACGCTTAGTTAAAATTTTGTTTTCATTTTTAGAGATATGGAGTGCATGCTTTGCAAAAAAATCTGATTTTAAGTTAGTTAGGAATTTTTAAAAATCGTTTTGAAACAGGAAAACTTTGCCACTTTTAAAGCCAACGGAAAAGTTTTAGGCTAAAATATTATTGTCACTGTTAATCCTGGAACTCACCGGAGACTTTGAGATCGTTTGGCGACGAGCTTCTCCGATTTTGTTTCTCGCCGAACAGATGTAGACACCCTGGTGGTTGAGATCGGCGGTGAAAATCAGCGAGTGGGAGCCCTTTCTGGTCACGTCGCGCTCGATTTGGCCACCCTGGAATTGGACTTGGTAATCCTGAATGTCTTGTTTTTTACTCGTTTTCAAGGAGTTTTACTTTGGAAATTCGGCTTCTCAAATACCCATTCTAAATAGTGCCCATTTTCTCGACTACCGTAATCTTGTCTCTATTTTGAAGCTTGATTTGTCAGTTCTGGAAGTCACAGTCTTGTTTTTACTCGTTTTCAAGGGGTGTTACTTCGAAAATTCCGCTTCTCAAATGCCCATTCTAAATGGTGCCCATTTTCTCGACTACCGTAACCTTGTCTCGATTTCGGGACTCCATTTGTCGGTTCTGGAAGTCACAGTCTTGTTTTTGATCACTTTCACAGTGTATTAGTTCTATCGAAAAAATTGGGGTCCGGTTCAGTTACGCAACTTGATCAACTTCCGGATAACTATATGCTAGATAGAGAGAAATGGTTTTAATGAGTTTAGTGCCTTCCAGATCAGTTAGAAAGGGTAGAAAAGATTTGCATAACCTGTAATTACCAATCTTTAAGGCAAGTGCTCGAAAGTGGATACCCAAAGCGCTCGAAAGGCTTTTTCCAAGTCAGGCTATGCCAGAAGCTCGGCTCACTGTTTGATAGATAGAAAGAAATGGTTTTAATGAGTCTAGGGCCTTCCAGATCGGCTAGAAATAGCAAAAAAAAAGTTGCATCACCTTGTAATTACTCAATTTTTAATCCCAAAGAGATTTCGAATTTCAATATTCTGATCCCCAAGGTATTATTCTAGATTTCACTCGTTCTCTGACAATAATCGCTGGGTGTCTGGAAGGGTGAAAGTGAAAGAGATAGGGGTCGTAAAAATCATTCAATGAGGAGAAAGAGGGAAACGTAGATGAACGACACCCATAAAGCTATGATCCCGACGCGGAATCCGCCCCGAAATCATCCCAAATCATCCAAACACATGTCGGATCACTTGAAAACAATATACTGGAGCGTACAAAAGAGTTTGAAAAAGAAAAGAGTGTCAAATTTTGCTTTGAGATTTTCGAGTGAGCTAAGAATTTTCAGCTCCGACTTTCTAGTGTCGGAAATTTGTCAAATCAAATTTTTTTGCGAAAAAGTTAAATTCTGAGGGCACGGGAGATTTTGAAAGAAAAATTCAGTCGAAATTCAGCAAAATGGAGAAGTTGGTTTTTGGATTAGCGTCTCGGACTATTTTTTCATTATTAAAACCATCAAAAGGTCAATTTTTTAACGGAAAACGAGATTCTGGAGGTCACGCGAGAAATTAGAAATTGAATCAGCTGAAAATTTTGCGTTTGAAAAAATTCAAGCACATTTCTGTAGATCCCAAAGTTGGGTAACTAATCCGGACCGTGTTCTCAATTTCAACGCCTGTTTTTAATCGTTTTTTTGTCTTTTAGGATCCACTCACCTTCTTGGACCATTGGATCTCGGCGCGGGGTTTCCGGTGGCCTGACACCGCAGCGTCACTTATCTCCCTTCCGCGTGGTCATTTCGCTCAAATCCGGCGAAATACTCACACTTGGCGAGGCTGAAAATCCGTTTTTTCGCCAAGCTGGAGCGCACAACACAAAAAAATGGGTCTAGTTTGGGAAAGTTATGGATTTTGAAAAGGCATCTTTTCAACTTTGGTTTAAGCCCAATTTTCCCTCACTAGGATCACTAAAATGAAAAATTACTGTAACTAATCGCCAATCTGGAACGCACACAACGAAATTCCGGTTTTAAAACTCACAAACAACGACAACTTCATGGGCGACCGAGGCGTCGTTGGCGGGCAACTTGCACGTGAATTGACGTGAGTGTTGCGGCTCGACGTTTCGGATTATTAAGATCATGTCCTGAAAATTGAGGAATTCATTGTGTGACTTCCAGGATTCATCTTTTGTTTGGGTGTTTGGCTTTTTGATGGGCATAACTCTATGAAACTCTAGCCAACTCTCACAGAACTCTTACAGATTGCTCAAATTGCAACTAGGCTTTCTAGTGTTAGCCAGATTCTAGGTGACTTCCAGGATTCATCTTTTGTCTGACCGCTTGGCTTTTTGATGAGCATAACTCTAAGAAACTCTAGCCAGCTCTTCCCACTCACCGATCCATCTTTTCTCACATCTAGACTATCATCGTTTGTCAGTTTCTCCTCATCCAGCGAAATCGTTCCTCCGAGGTCTCCCAAGTGATCGTGTCATCGGCTGAAATTGAACTTGTTGTAGAAAACTCAAATTGAAATATAAAATACCGAGTACACTCAATTTTAGCCTGAAATTTTGGAAGAAGTTGGGGAGCCTAAAGTTTTCAACCTTTCTGGTCTCGATTTGACCACCCTGAAATCGGATTTGGTAATCCCTGGATGTCACAGTCTTGTTTTTAATAATTTCCAATGTGTTACTTCGAAAAGTCCGCTTCTTAAATACCCATTCTAAATGGTGCCCATTTTCCCCTCGACTACCGTAATCGCATTTCTATTTTGGAGGCTTGGATTTGTCGATTCTGGAAGTCACAGTCTTGATCATTTTCAAGGTGTGTTACTCGAAAAGTTCCGCTTCTTAAATACCCATCTAAATGGTGCCCGTTTTCTCGACTACCGTAATCTTGTCTCTGTTTTGGGAGCTTCGATTTGTCGATTCTGGAAGTCACAGTCTTGTTTTTAATCATTTTCAAGGTACATTACTTCTATCGGCAAAAATGGAGCCCGGTTCAGTTACCCAACTTGCATCAACTTACGGCTAACTGTTTGCTAAATAAAGAAAAATGGCTACAATGGGTCTAGTGCCTTCCAGATCGACTAAAAATGGCAGAAAAACTTTGCATAACCTTGCAAACTATAAAACCAACTGTCCAAATCGTCGACATGACATGGCAACTCGACCGGCTCCCTCCCGCACTTCGAACCGTTGCGATTTTGTCGCGATCTTCGGATCACAAATGGATTCCCGCAACAAAGAATCACTCCCAACAACGAGGGCCACCTCATTTCTTTGAAAAATTGAATGCAAAATTGTAGAAATCGGCAAGAAAATGTGAAGGAGTGACTCAAAAGCATTTCGAAAAAATCAAACAAGTTGGGGTACAGATTTTTGAATGGAAATGCACGATCTGGAGGTCATTGAAGCTAAAAATATGAAGATTTTTGGCTCAAGCGCCTTCTGAGTAAATCTTGAGTCATGGAGACGAATCAGAGGCAAAAGTGGCTTTGAAATATTCAAATTTTCAAAAGAAGCAAAATTTTTGTGGAGTTCTGGATGGCATTGGGAAGATCTAGGCAGGACAAGAAGGAAAAATATGCAAATTTGAGCAAAATCTTTTAGCTAAAGGCTTTACTCCCAAGTTTCCTTTTGTTTTCGCAAACTTTTACCCAATTTTGGAAACAGTATTCGCTGATCTGAGGGCACAGGAAATTCTTAAAACAAAATTAGATTATTTTCTTGAGTTTTAAAGAATTTGGTTTTCAGCTGAATCTTCTGAGCTAATCTGGAGCTTTAAAGTGCTCCTGGAAAGTTCTTACGTGTTTTTTTCTCATCCTGGAACGCACTCTCTCGTTTAGCAATAAAAAGCTGGATGTCTAGTGACTTTGGAAACTATCTGCTAGTCGAGCCAACTCCGACCCCCTAATTTCCAGCCCTTCAAGACTGTCCCCACCCGGTTGATTCCATGAGAATGAAATGGGTCTTTGAAGGGCTGATGAGATGAGAGAAAAACATTTCACACGTCAGACCACTTTACTGAATGCTTGTTTTGAATCCGTGAGCTCCAGAACGCGCAAAAAGTTGGCGATTTTGGAAGAATCGACTTGCAGAAAATCGGTATTTCGAAAGGGAAGCAAATTTTTGGGTTTTGCTTTGGAAATCGTGCAGTTCGGCGCTCGAACTCTTGCTCTCGCTAGTCAGTGATCGTTATCTTTTCCTTTCACAGCGCCTTGTCTAAATATCTCATCCCAAAGCACACACCAACCAATCTCTGTGACATCCAATAAATCAGGCTTATGGAGGGAGGAGAAGGGAGTGGACGGGAAAGAGAGAAGGGGTGCATCAATGGAGGTTAGCCCCATCAGCCTCCCAGCCCCAGCCTCAGCCCCAGCCCCAGCCCCAGCCCCAGCCCCAGCCTCAGCCCCAGCCTCAGCCCCAGCCCCCAGCCATCCAGGCACATTTATTGATCACCTACCATTCTTATCTTTTCAATATCTTATGTGCCTTCCAGAAAATGGTTCTGAAAAGTTTTGAGGGTTAAAAATGAAGAAAAGAGCCAAAAGGATGGTGGTCAGCGAGCGCCAAGAGCAAATCTTGCAAAAAGTCAAAAAAGCTCTGGTTTAAGCTTTTTATTTTTATTGTGCGCTCCAGATCACCGTTTCCTTTCCAGAAAAAACGATTAAAACGTGAAAATGGCGTTCATAGATGCGCGGGAAATCGGCGAGTTCTCGGCGGTCGAGAATTTGTCGCGTTCATTGAAATGCCCGTTTCCCCTGCGAGTTTCCTTTTTCAATGTTATTTGACACCGATTCTCTCCTTTTTTTTTGTCAAAATTTACTAGAGAAATCAGCTTTTTTTTGACAGATAAATTGTTTATATTCAAAAAATTTTTCAAAACTTTCTACGCCCAGCTGGCACCGAATCGTACAGAATTTCACGGTTTTTTTTGAAAGTTTCCAGGAAGAACAATCTCTGCTTTGTAAACTATCGATGGGATTTGGGGAATGAAAAAGTTGAATTGAGAAATTTGCGAAATTTACGAAAAGCCAGTTGGGTAACTAAACCGGAATGATTTTCTACTGGTTCCCTCAAAAGATATTGTGACTTTTTTGTCAAAATTGTGAAAACGGGAAGGCACTGAGCTGAATTCACGAGAAAAACTCCCAGAAAGGAGACATTTCAGAAATAACGATAAACTTGGGTACCTAACTTGGGTAGCTGGGTGAATTCCTGGGGAAATTCGTTGCCATTTCCCAAAACTTTGGCAAAAATAGTGGGTCCTGAAAGCACTGGGCTGAGTTCATGAGAAAAAATTCAGAAGAGGTATCACTTAGAAATGGTGACAAAATTAGGTAACTAAATTGGATAGCTGGGTGAATTCCTGAGGAAATTCGTTGTCTTTCTCTAAACTTTTCCAAAAATAGTGAGTCCTGGAAAGCACTGAGCTGAATTCAAGCGAAAAATTTCAGAAAAGATAACATTTAGAGATGAGGCACCGTCAAAGTTGGGCAATTGAACCAGAGGGATTCAGGCTGGTCTATTCCGTGCGGAGAGTAAAGCTTTCCCCGAAAATAGTCCCCGCTGTGTCCCAGGAGAGTCTCAGAAAAGGCTTCACTGGGTGAAAAGATCGAGAGTCGCTTTTTTTTGGCGAGGAAATTGCTAACGAGGGGCTACTTTTTGCAGAGAAGAGCACCCTAGCCTCGTTTTTGTGTCGATTTTGACATATTAGTGGCCAGTGGCTAATGCTCGAGCGATTCTGGAGCGCATTTGAATGATTGGCGGTAAAAAGGTTGGAAAAGCGGGGAAATGGGGTCATTTTTTAAAGAAATTTCACTTGGACACTAAAATTTTGGCCGTAGTTGGAAATTTTGAAAAATATTTTTTCAGGGGTAAATCTGGAGCGCACAACACCGATTGGTTTTAATAAAAAGGCAGGATTCTGGAAAATCAAAAATTGAACTGTGTTTGTTTCGAATCAGCTTCAAAATTCCAATTCTAGTAAAACTAAGATTTCAATTTTTCAAAAAAAGTCAAAATTAGTAATCTTGGCCGGCATTTGAAGTAAAGAAGCAAAAATTTTGGCATTTTGACGATTTTTGGTGATTTGGGTGTCAGTGATTCGCCGCTGGAATGGACTTTGGCTTTTTGAACGACTATAACTTTGTCTAGAGATCTCTAGACTATTGACTTTTAATATAGTTTTAAAGAGGAGACTCTAGGCTTTCAAATGATACCAAAAAGAGCTCGATTGGACTAGCGAATGCTGAGAGAATTGAGAGAAAAGAGGCTCGAGTCACTTTCGTTGTTCACTCAGTTTCGGTGCTGTTTTCTCTAGTTTGGCCAGACCAATCGAGCTCTATTTTGTATGATTCGAAAGCCTGGAGTTTCCTCTATCCAACGATATAAATAGTTAAAAATAATATTGCTTCTAAACAAAGTTATGAGCCATTAAAGTTGGCCATATTTCGGAAGAAACAATGTATCTTTGTGTGGCCGCGTAATCGCTCACCGTCTGGCATACCGCTCTGCTATAAGAACCCCTCTTTAAAAAAGTTATCAAATAAGCTCAAAAATCAATCTATTAGCTGTTGTGAATTCCAGAATGACTAGAGAAAACAAATTTGAGGTGGATTGGCGACAAATTGAGATCAGGGCAATGAGTTGATTGAGTCAAAAGTGGTGGAAGAAGAAAAAAGAAGACAAGCGATCAAATGAGCAAATCAAATGAGGGTGTGATGTCCAGTTTGAAGAATGGATGGGGTGGGGCGGGTGGGGACAGTCTTGAGGCTGGAAATTAGGGGTCGGAGTTGGCTCGACTAGCAGATAGTTTCCAAAGGTCACTAGACATCCAGCTTTTATTGCTAAACGATAGAGTGCGTTCCAGGATGAGAAAAACCCACGCAAGGAATTTCCAGGAACACTTTAAAGCTCCAGATTAGCTCCAGAAGATTCAGCAAAACCCACTTCTTTTAGAACTCAAGAAAATAGTCTAATTTTGTTTTAAGATTTCCTGTGCCCTCCAGATCAGCGGATACTGTTTCCAAAATTGGGTAAAAGTTTGCGAAAACAAAAGGAAACTTGAAGGGAAGCGTTCAAAGTTGAAACTAAATCGAAAAAGCTTTCTAAAAGAAATTTAATCGCTTGGTTATGATTGCGCATTTTTGGGGTGAACCCCAAAACGGGTTTAGAGAGAATTTTATGAGTTAGAGGGGAATGGGGGAGGGAGAAAGCCAACAACGGAGTTGAAAGGCAGATGTTTGGCCCATTTTAGGCGAGGGGGCAAACGATACAGCGGAGACAGAAATCTACGAAATATAATGGACGGAAATCATTCATAGAGCGCAGACAACAGTTTAGAGGGGAAAGAGAATGAATGGATGGGAAAAAGATCAATCTTGGTCTTGGAGTCGTTCTAGTCGCTTGACTTTTGACCACTTTAGCCACTATCCAGTGTCCAGAGTTGAAAATTTTTATACTAATTTCCAAGCTGGAACTCATTTGAGCCATTGATGCTGTTTTAAAAGCAAATATTGCGTTTTGAAGGAATCGAGGATTTCATGTTTCCGACTTTGCCCACTTTTAGCCGCTCTCCATGATCCAGGATCGAAACTTTTCATCTGCAGCTCTAATCTGGAACTCATTTGAGCTATTGATGCTGTTTTAAAGGCAAATATTGCGTTTTGGAGAAATCGAAAATCTCATCTTTCGACTCTTGCCCACTTTTAGCCGCTATCCATGATCCAGGATCGAAACTTTTCATGTGAATCTCTAATCTGGAACTCATTTGAGCCATTAATGCTGTTTTAAAACAGGCAGGACACTTTTACCAAAATCGTTAATCAAGCACCACTGACTTCGACACGCACTGTCCCTGGCGACTGGAATTTCGCAAATTTCCGTCAAAATCGTCCAAACTGGATGTCAGCCTATATTTTCTATACCAAAACTTTTATCAATAACAAAAGTAGGTTTGAGTTTGGGCTCACCCATTCAAATTCTTTGGATGAAGGGGAGAAGGGCAGAGAACGCCTCTGGGAAAGCTTATTTCATCAGCCGGGGAAAAACGAAGGAAAAGGGGAATCTGGAAAAGGAGGATTCTGAAAAAATAGAAAATGGGACAAAGAGAAAGGGAAAATGCGAACCCAAGAATATCCATCTTGAGTGATGAAAAATTCTGAAAATCTTTTTCTGGTTGAATGGAGGGGCGGGAAAGCTCTCGTGCGTTCCAGAAAGGATTTTGGTCGGCAAAAGAATTGAATATCTTGGGAGATGGGGGAGAAATTGAAGC